GTAGCTAGCTAGCGGCTTGTCTGCCTACCGAAGGTCTTGAGTTCAAATCATCGTCCAGGCAGATATTTACACTGTAACTGTTTAGCTTGCAGGTACACAACTCAGAATGGGCACCAGGAAGAGTCTTGGTAAGTAAAAGCACCCGACTTAACATTTACTATTTGTCTATAAAATAATGGGTTCACCACCATATGTCCTCCCATGGTGTTAAAAGGGTCCATTCTTGTGTTGTTGTATGCACACAGCTTCATTATTAAACTTAAACGTTAAATCAATATTGTTTACAAAGGAACAATTTTATACCAGTGCCTCATCGACCTTATGATGCTAGGCCAATATTTTATAGACACACTGGCACTAGATGGGTGATGTGGCCAACATCGTGGCAGCCGCCTTTACTTCCCATGACATTACCTGTGACCAGTTTTAGGCTGGGTCGTCGAAATAGCCAAGGTCAATTTTCAAAAAAAAAGAATTTAAAAAAAATATTTAAAAAAACTTTTTTTAAAAAAATGATATTAGCTTTCTATTACTTAACTTGTATACAATTAACAAGTGCACTAAAAGATATAAAATAATTGATACTGTGGTATGTGAAATTCATTTCTACTATGGTATGTAGAACATAATATATTAATAATAGTGTGTTTTAATCTCATTTATATTGTAGGTATATCTTATCATATAATTTTTGGATAACTGAGTTCAGCTAATTATCTTTAGCAACAGTCTACAACTTTATACCACGACTAATGAAAGCGTGGGGTGTCTACATAACAAATTATATAATTCTCATCAACTTTAACAGGTCACTGCCATTATAAATATGATTTAGTATTATGCGAACGCCGCTAACAGCCAAGACAAACCGGAGTAAGTTTAATGAAAGCTAACCAAAAAAAAAAAAAATCTGAATAGATGCGTTTTCGAATCCAGGACTTTTGGGTTGGCTGGATAGCAGCTCCCACAACTCTACCGCGGCTCCCTTCTCAATGATTGGTGATGAATAAATAAAGATCTTGACAAGTGTTCACAAAATGACGTAACAAAGGCGAAGAGTATAGATTACCCTGGAGAACTGAGGCCTTGTGAAGTCAATTATCAGTACATTGCAAAGTCACCTTGGAGAATGACGTTGTGTGTGCGCGCGCGCGTGTGTGTGTAAGAGGGCGCTCGGGTGTGTGTTGTGTTGTTAAAGGCATGTAATATACAGTATTACCCTCGTGTGGCTTCCGGGGCCCTGTTATAGGGAAAACAAGAATAGACCCACTGCCTACCCATAAGCATGTCGTAAGAGTCGACTAATTGGGAGCTTCCTTCGAAGTCGGAGTGCATCTGCCGGAGAGGCAAGGAGCCAACAGTCTGCACACAAATGTGTCAAATCTGTCAAACGGATGCACACGCAAGGCTCAAGTTCTGGAACAGGACTGCAGTCCAGAAGTGGACGAACAACCAGAACTTTCCACCAGAGTTACCAGCTGGTAAACGCAAAGAAGAAAGAAGATATACAGTATTAATCATAAAAAAAAATTGCGTGGATTCCGAGGCTCCATTGAAAGGTGGGGTGGGGGGGGGGGGGGTTAGAACAGATCAAAAGCATGTCGTAAACGTCGACTAGTTAGTGATGCTTCCTTCGTAGTCGGTGTGCATCTTCCTGGGAAACGAGGAACCGCAACCTGAATACTAATGTCAGATCCGTAAAATGGATATGGATGTAGAATATAACCAAGGTCCAGCAGTTGATGAATATCCAGAACGTTGCGTCAGTGTTTACAGCCGGTGAACGCAAATAAGAAGAGGAAGATTTTGGGAAGACCTCAACTGTCGGCACTTAGTGCAGGGGCGTCGACACACACACACACACACACAATTTATGGTTTGGGGGGGGGGGGGCTTATCCTCCCTTACACATTTTACAGGAGACATGGGGGGGGGGCGGCGGCGGCTAAGCCTTGTTTAAGTAAATAATAATCATCACCACAATAGTGTGCTGAGTGGTACAATATAAATATTATTAATAAAAATAATAATAATATATTCGAAATATCGTGACATGTTTAAACGAGAATAACAAAATAACTTGTGAACATGGCGATGGTCACTCCTTCTTATCGGTGTGGCGACCACTGGTTCCAGGTGCAACCAGGGCTGATAAAAAAAATTTCACATTGGCCCAGCTGAATTCTTTAAGTCATGAACCATACACAATACGCTGATTGCTTACTCTACACATGGTACTCATTTCTCAGTGTCTTCATTCACAATATTCGGTAATTAACCTAAATATCCAAACTGTATTTTAACTCATCTTGTACAGTTTTTGAATTATTTTAACTAAACCTTGATCAAAGCAGCTGACGTGGTGTAGGGGTTAGGCGCTGGTCTGGGATCGCTATCGGGTCCTGATATAGCTGGACTTATTTCAAACAATGACTTGGCTTCCAGATCCACCCATTCTTGAGTGGGAACCAGGTATAGTCCTGTGAAGACAAGGCTTCCGGCGTGATGCTGACCACCTCAACCATCAACTGGCGGTTGGTCTATAAAATATAGGTCTAGCCCTATGTGCCCAATACGCCTAAAGGCATGGAAAGGGTGCTTTATTTTACTTTACTACCAAGATCAAAGTCACTGTAGCGTACACAAACTGTAGCACTATAATGTAGGGAGTGTTACAGTGATAGTTATCTGGTACTGAACACGCTAAAAATGATTATCACTAATGGGTCTGCAACATAAATTTCCAGTCAGGGCTGCCAAAATATTTTTGGAAATAGTACCAACATTTTTTTCCAAAAGGTACCAACAGACCTCAAAAAGTTCTCTTTTTAAAAATTTGTTTCCATCAAAAACCTTAAAACTATTTAAACACATGCGCGCGCGCGCGCGCACACACACACACACACACACACACACACGCACACGCACGCGCACGCGCACGCGCACGCGCACGCACACGCACACGCACACGCACACACACACACACACACACACCATATATATATATATATATTATATATATATATATATATATATATATATATATATATATATATTTATATATATAAATAAATGGCGTACCTTATATTTGATAAGAAATGAAATCCTTTATCCATTACTGAAAATGGGGCCGCCCTGGCGTTGCGACTAGACGCCCCACTGCAGATCTCGTAAGGTCGTGGTCTCGGTTCTTAACGGAAGCCGGACTTTTTTCAGAAATGACCTTGGCTTCCAGGTCGACCCAGCCTTGAGTGGGTACCAGGTGCAGTCATATGAAGTAAAGGCGGCCGTGGTGATGCTGACCATATCACCCACCAAGTGCCGTTTGGTCTATAAAATATAGGTCTAGCCCTATATACCCAATACACCCAAAATGCGTGGAAAAGGGTCCTTTACTTTTACTCTTCTGTTTACCGAAAATATAGTATGAACAACAGTTTTCGTCTGTGAAAAAGTTTAACGGTACTGTTTTGTTGTTGTTTTTGTTGCTTTTTTTTTTCTTTCTGTTTTTTTTTTTTTTTTGAAGACAAAGAACAATATATAGGAAAACTATAAACGTACTAACCAAATGTCACAAAACACTTCGAAATAAAATGAATAGGAAGAGCTTGCGTATGAAATCAATTAGAATGTTGATCTGCGAAGAGAGAACTATCTGGATAAGGACATTTCTATACTGCCCTTTGAAACAGAAACAAAAATGCATTTTGCCAGTAAAGTCAGATGGTATATTTACTTTACGCTTATTTTCAGTACACTTCCAACCACTTTGTTGTTGTTGTTGTAAAAAAGGCTCAAAAATACCAAAATTTAAAATATTGATGCACATGTTCTAAAGTGTACTACAACATCGGGCGTGGTAACAAAAGTATAGTTTTGCAAGGCAAATGTCAATCAGTACCAGATTTGTTCGAAACTGCCAACTTCGACAGCCCTGTTCCCAGTTAGGACCTGTGTGGGCTCGGGGTTCAATTGGCGGGGAAAATAAGAATAGGTCACTGCCTCTCCAACAAGCATGTCGTAAGAGTAGTGTAATTGGGAGCTACCTTTGAAGTCGGAATGCATCTGCTTGAGATGCAAGGAAAAACCAGGTGTACACAATAAGCCAGTAGAACAGATCTGCACGCAAAACTCATTCCCTTTCATAAAGCCAAAATCTAAATTGGCGAACAACTAGGGCGTTCCCCGTTGAGATTACAGCCGGTGAACACAGGAGAAAAAGAACGAATGAACCAACCAGCTTTATTTTCAAAGGGTTGAGAATTGTGCACGCAGGTCCCTGTGTACCATTCTGCCCGTCTAGTCTTCCTTCTTTCATACATTTTTCATTCATTCATCAAGTAATAGTAACATTATCAATATCATCAAAATATTCAATACAAGCACTGGAATGTGCACATTTCTATCTACAGGAAACATCAATAGTTGTAATAAATTTTGGGAAAACTGGAGACCTCTTAAATCTACTCATTTGACCACAAATGCCAGAAAATAGTCTGGAATGTAACTGTGAAAATAGTCTGGATGGTAACTGTGAAAATAGTCTGGATGGTAACTGTGAAAATAGTATGGAATGTCACTGTGAAAATAGTCTGGATGGTAACTGTGAAAATAGTATGGATTGTAACTGTGAAAATAGTCTGGATTGTAACTGTGAATAGTCTGGATGGTAACTGTGAAAATAGTCTTGAATGTAACTGTGAAAATAGTCTGGATGGTAACTGTGAAAATAGTCTGGAATGTAACTGTGAAAATAGTCTGGATGGTAACTCTGAAAAGAGTCTGAATGGTAACTGTGAAAATAGTATGGATGGTAACTGTGAAAATAGTATGGATTGTAACTGCGAAAATAGTCTGGATTGTAACTGTGAATAGTCTGAATGGTAACTGTGAAAATAGTCTGGATGGTAACTGTGAAAATAGTCTGGATTGTAACTGTGAAAATAGTCTGGAATATAACTGTGAAAATAGTCTGGAATGTAACTGTGAAAATAGTCTGGATGGTAACTGTGAAAATAGTCTGGATTGTAACTGTAAAAAAAAGTCTGGATTGTAACTGTGAAAATAGTCTGGATGGTAACTGTGAAAATAGGCTGGAATGTAACTGTGAAAATAGTCTGGATGGTAACTGTGAAAATAGTATGGAATGTAACTGTGAAAATAGTCTGGATTGTAACTGTGAAAATAGTCTGGATTGTAACTGTGAAAATAGTCTGGATTGTAACTGTGAAAATAGTCTAGAATGTAACTGTGAAAATTGTCTGGAATGTAACTGTGAAAATAGTCTGGATTGTAACTGTGAAAATAGTCTGGATTGTAACTTTGAAAATAGTCTGGAATGTAACTGTGAAAATAGTCTGGATTGTAACTGTGAAAATAGTCTAGAATGTAACTGTGAAAATAGTCTGGAATGTAACTGTGAAAATAGTCTAGATTGTAATTGTGAAAATAGTTTGGATTGTAACTGTGAAAATAGTCTGGATTGTAACTGTGAAAATAGTATGGAATGTAACTGTGAAAATAGTCTGGAATGTAACTGTGAAAATAGTCTGGATTGTAACTGTGAAAATAGGCTGGACTGTAACGGTCACTGGCGTGGTGCAGACCACAAAAATCGTTAACTACTGGAAACTAGCTTGGAAAAACTCAATACGTCCCAAGACACGGAAACGGATCCTTCTCTGTACTTGTGCCGATGTCTGGGTTGTAGGTAACAGATTCACTGAACGTGATAGGGAAGGACCAGAATCAAAAACCCGAAGGAGAAAAAAAAAGAGGGGGGGGGGGGGGTGGGAGGTAACTAAAAACTAAAGAACAATCTATATTGAAAGGTTAGGAATTGGGCAAGCTAAAGCATCATCATCATGTAGCAGGTCCTTTGCCGAGAGCATCGCTCTTATCTTATCTGCCTAAAAAAAAAACTCGGTCTCTCGCCAGCTCTTTCGCCTCATGTACTTTCATACTCAAGGAGTCACATATATCCTGTGCCCATCTTCGTGTTGGTCAGCCCTGCCCCTCCTTCCTGGTACCGTGCCTTCTGCTATAATTTTTTTTCCAATCCGTCGTGGCGCTTGATATGACCAAAATATTTCAGCTTCCGAGACAGAATGCTGTTTATTAGCCAATCTTCCTTGATGTTAAGATTTTTCTAGATGTCAGTATTTCTCCTCTTTTTCTTAGAAGATATTCTGAAAATCCTCCTATAGCTAAATTAAAGCAGCGAATGAATTGATATATCTAGGGAGCATGTATTCAGAAGACGGACAAATAAATAAAGAAATCCAGCGAAGATGCAATAAAGCCACTCATGTTTTAGACCAAATGGCACACATTTTAAAATTCAAGCATGGGAATATGAACTTTAAAAGAACGCTGTTTAACAACATTCAACGCTAAGCTATCAGTGACAAACACAGACACTGTCTTCAGAAGACAGCAGGACAATAGTCACAACATAAATGAAGTGTTTACGTACTATACTAGGTGTACCGAGGATAGATCAACTTAGGACGAATGATATCAGGTGGAGAGTTGGCACCAATACTGACCTTTATAGCTAGACAGCAGGTCAAATGGTTTGGCCACGTAACAAGACTGGCAGAAAAAAAGCTCGCCACAGAGAGCAATGTTTTGCAGATACAGCGGTAACAGAGCAAGAGGTCGACCACGCAAAACATGGACTGCATAAAAATCAGAGGCGCTCAAAAGTACTATATTTGAAGCGAACAGAAGGGCCTGTTCCATAGATCTCTTCTTATCCTGACTCCGAGAGGCATTCCAGGAGTAGAAAGAAGAAGAAGAATAATTGGGCACACAGGCCAGTCCAAGATTCTGCAACTCTAAGGTCATTTCTGTCATACCCCTTTTTTTCTCCAGTCATACATCGTTTTAGAATATAACAATAATAATAACATTGACGACTTTTAATTATTAATAGCAAATGCTACAAAGTGCACAATAGGAATAAACTCACAGGGAGCAAGTACAGCAGGGATCTACCAGTCTTCAGTAGAAATTATCCTCGTCGACACGCGTTTCGGCCCACGATTCCTAGACGCATTCGGAGGTGGGCCCACCTGAGTTCATGAAGCTCAGGGCTGGTTCCCTGCTGCACGGAATTACCGGATGGTGGTTATACTTTCGGCCAGAGACAAGACGACTTGGTGGTTTCGAAGGAGGTACTGTGAGATAAGAAGCCGCCAGCGGCAGCGTAATTAAAAACAGTCCGCATGCCTGGACGACCGAGCGACAAGCTTATTTTGGTTTACCGGACACATGTTGGACCTTTTATTAGCAGTTGGCAGAGGGACAACTGGCAGACAATTCGTACACGATGGACTTTCAAAGGGATGAGAAACTCCTTTTCCGCTAGACACCCGGACCAGCTCACCGAGGCCCGTCCCCTACGTTGTTGCGCTGCGTCCAAAGCCAGCTAGAGGCCCTTTCGGCTGCCTCTCCCAGTTTTTGAGTGTTCGTTTCCGTTCATTACCGCGCAATCCTAGTTTTTTCACCAACATTGTAGAGCGAAGTGGAAACGAGGCCTCTCGCTCCCACTTCGACGGCAAAAACCCGTACTGTGTAAGCCTCGTTTCTCCTCAAACCGGCTGCTAAATCACTGTACTTATCGAGCTTGTACAAATGATTCTCCTCCATACGCGACTCAAACGGGACCGTCAACTCAATCAGGATGAGCTGCCGTTTTTGCGCAGAATGGAGAACGATGTTCGGTCGCAGGCCGGTTTTACGGATCAACTCGGGATACCGTTCATGGCCTGGCAGATCAACCGCCAGTAACCAGTCCCTGGCAGAGTCTAGCACAGATGGAGCGAATGCGTTTTTGTTGACCTTACCAATTGGAACCAAAGTATACCTACAGCTGGAAATAATAATAAAGCTTTGAACAGTGAGTTTAATAAATAAAGGACAAATATATTATGTGCTTAAAATACCGTTATCCGTTATACCGTTACATAACGTCGCTCTGATCACGGCCCTCCTGAAAGAAACTCGGTCTCTAGCCGTCATTTCGTATCCAAGGAGTCACTTATATCCTGTATCCATCTTAGTGTTGGTCGGCCCCTGCCCCTCCTTCCTGGTACCATCACCTCTGCTATAATTTTTTTTTTCAAATCTGCCAAGGCGCTTGATATTTAGGATGTTATAAATTAAAATTATGCATTGGACCGCGGCATCCGTGACTTAGGCGTTCGACTCGTAATTCTAACGTACCGCGATCGAAACCAGTGTTGCCACTTTGGATGTTTTACATCCACATTTAGATGCTTTCCCTTGCATTTAGATGGCATTTATAACGTTTAGATGGTACATGATTTTCTAGTTTTTTTGGGGAGTGTATTTATCAAATCTAACCTCAAAAACAAGATGAAATTTGGCCTTTTAAATGCTATCTTGACAATGAAATTTTGGCTAATAAGAGAATGAAAAGGCTGTTCCACTTATGAGCTCCCTGATTGGGTATTAAAAGAAACTGGAACAGCTAAAGCATACCAGAGTCATTTTGAATCTGAAGCTTCAACTTCATCTTCCAAGCTAAGTTTATCCTGTGAACTTTGTAAGGCAGTCTTCAGTAAGAATGAGGACATGATTCTATAGGAAAAGTCAAATCAATTGCTATGTAATTTGTGACTCTTTCCATTTGGATGTTTTTCTAGATGCTTTCCAAGCAAATTTAGATGTTTTTAGATATTTTTGTCTCCATTTTGGATGTTTTTTGTCGAAGAAAAGTGGCAACACTGGCTGGGGTGTCGCAGGTCGAACCAGCCTAAAATGGGTACAGCGTAATGCCCACCTAGTGTCGAACGATCTGTAAAATATGGGTGCTCTTTCGATATGCCCGATGCGCCCTTAGGCTAAAAATGGATCTTTACTGCCTTGAACTGAACGTGTTAACCGTTACCGCTTTCTAACCCCTCAACCACGCAATTTCCTGTTTTTATAATCAGCTTTAATGCTTTCAGCCTCGGTCATTAAATACTAAATGTGTCCATTCACGGTGAAAGATTCTCCAAACTGTCTTTTCCAAATGGCGACTGGCCAGCCTTCATGAGAAATAAAATGTTCGCAAACTTGACAGAACTCAGCGTCCAGACAAGATTCAAGTGTCAAATGAGTTATCGTTATGAAATAATGTTGGAAATGATTCACGGGGATTCATATCGATCTGACATAAGGATTCAGAAAGGTCAACAGAAAACTTGCACCAAACTAAAATATATCCTCGATGTCTTGAGGGCTCTCACAAATTACAGAAAATATGGAAAGTTTCCTATTACTTTTGCGGAGAAAATGGCATGAAAAGATAAGTCTCTGGTGTCAGTCTGTTGGATTAGGCGAAGACTGGCCTAGTTTTTGGTAAGTGCAACCGGGTGTCTGCATGGCGAAATGGTCAAGCAGTTCGCCTCTAGCTCTGAAGGTTATGGGTTCGTTTCCACAGCGGTTGCGTTCGATTCACAAGTGTAATTTTACGCAGCTCTCCGGTGATCGTGACTGGAGCTATGGTGTTTGTACTGTGTGCAACACTCTATGTAAGCATCTAGCCGATCTGTGGAGAGAGATGGAGCCATACGGGATAAAAGCCGGGGAAGAAGTTCCTCTCAACTTCAACAATATTTTGAAATTAACATTAACTTGAAGGAAAATAAACGGCTTTATCCCCTCTGGATGTGTTTAGAGCGTATGGTACCAATTTCACAATGTAATAAGATCAGCTGTAACGCAGTGGCAGGACTATCGCCTGTTGGTCTGAAGATCTAAACTTGGAATCTGCTCGAGATAGATTTTAAAAAGTGACTGTGTCCCAGATTAACCCAGCCGGCTATTCTCCGAGTAACAATCCCAAATTATCAAGGCTAAGAAAATACCCTAACAGGGCCTCAGTCATATGTAAATGGCGGACCTCTTTCCTGCGACTACACCGCATACAACGGAAAAGCTTCCGCTGAGTTAAAGTCACCACTGAGAGTTTCCCACGGCGCCGCTATGCGTGGCGTGGAGGGGAGGGAGGGCGGTGGCTACACTAGATGGCTGGGACTCACGAGCAGCAGTTACCGCATCTCCTGCAGCTTCCTCCATTTTATTTGCTCTTTAGTCCCAGCAATCTAATTTAGCACCCCTCCCCCTTTCACGCGCCGCGCGTAGCGGCGCGGGGATATATCTCAGCGGTGTCGATATAGTCGCCGGAAAAAAGTCCGCCATTCACATATGACTGAGGCCCTGTTTATACTTACGGCTTCGATAATTTGGGACCGTTATTCGGAGGATAGCCATCCAGCCTAATATTGCTACCAGTAGTATCCCTGGAAGTCATGGCGACGGCGTGATGGCAACTATCATACCACTAAAGTGCCGATTAGTGTACTGCAGTAAGATTAACATCCTACACATGATTTCCTTTGAAGTCGATGTGCATCTGTCTCAGAGGCGAAAAATGGGCAGTCTGCATACAATACAAGTAAAACAGATCTGTAAAACAAATTTGCCGTCAAAAATGTAATCCAGCCCATTCCTCTTGTATTTCTTCTTCTTCGCGTTTCTCCCTCTACGATTAAGAAAGCCACATCTTCCTTTACAATAAACTCAACCATATATCTCATCATGGTGA